ACCATCTGGATCAGAAATGAGATCTTAATTTAATCAATTCACCTTATTCTTTAATTCATTCATTCTACACCTGCTTAATTTATCTCAATTTGACCTTTGTCTTATCAGAGTTACCAATTAGAATCCCTAACTGCATTCTTTCATCCATTTTGGAAGAAAAATAACAGACCTCTCTGTTGTGTGTTTGAAAGCACACATGCTTGCTAATGGGTGCTTTCCTTGTAAGCTGCAAAGTCAGGTAAAATCTAAAGTGTTAGAACTCACGAATTAGTGATGAATTCCTTCATACCTTGTTCAAGTTCTTACCTTGAATCTTGGAATTGTTACCAAAAACCTTGACTTGGTTTTGAAAGGCAATTTAAAGGGTGATGGTTAGATAGTGGGTAAGATCAGGGACTGTTCAGACTCAAATACTTGAGCTGGACACAGACAGGGACCTAAAAGTGAATAGGAAAATGGGCAAAAAACACCACCTCTAGCGACAACTGCAAATCCTCCAAGACGTTATTTCAATTTAGGGAAAGAAAAGTCATTTTGCATCTGCTTCTTGGCAAACTTGCTTAAGCAGTTCTCTGATCAGTTGCAGGCCGGCCCTTCTTAAATTTGGATTTGCATACAGTTCACCTGAGGCTTCGTTACAATGTAGATTCTGACTCACTGTGTCTGCAGTGGGCTCGAGATTCTGCCTTTCCAGCAAGCTCTCAGGTGACGCTGCTGCTGGTCCTCCGGCCACACCTTGAGGACTGAGGTGTATGCCCAGCCCTGCCCTCTCGCAGCCTGCGTCTTGGCTCCTCTCTCGTCATCCTCGCCTTCTGCCTCTCCCTCAGCCTCCGTTTCTAGGCAATTCTGTTCCTCAGTTTGGGTTTATCAGGCATTGACCCTTTAACTAAGCAGTTCTTTGACTGGGAAAATAAAAACAAAACCACTGGATTCTTAAGTGTCCTTTTTAATGCAGATTATGTATCTGGGTGCTTTGGGGATGAGCCTCAGTGTAGCCAAACTGCCAGAACAGTGCTTTCGGGGAGTCTAGAGAGAGAAGCTGGCCCATGCCTGGGGCGCAGACACTTGCTCCACCCTGGAAGGGATGGCGTCATAAGCTTTCCCAGGTCTCGTAGATGTCAGGTAATGAACACCTGTACCCTGTCCTCGGGGTCACTCTGGACTTGGATGAAATAATTTAATGCAAGTATTGTTAGGAAGTCACTTTCCTCCTGTAAAAACCTGCCCTGTTGAGGGATGGGGGACATATATGTTTACGAAAGATTCCTCTCTCCAGAACCAAGCATTGTAAGCCTCAAATAGCTTTAATTCAGCCTTGATTAAAATGAAGACGAGACCAAAGACCACAAGCTTCTGTAGTGGGAACCTTAAGAGGATCCAGGTGCTTTTGAGAATGCAGAGCCCTGAGTCAACAAATTGCCTTTATTACATAGGTAAAGTAGATTGAATATTGATGTGTGAGCTGTCATTCATTTTAGGTCAAATCTATTTATTTTGTACCTTGTCATTATAAAATGGAGATTCTAAGTTTTTACTAAGTACACGTATAATAATGAAAGATTTATTTTAATACCTCCAAGGACTATTGGCTTTTCAAGACGATGACTATTTGTCATAGGAAACTGTATTTGTTAAATCGTTTGCCGTAGAAAACTGTTTAATAATTCTGTTTGTTGTGGAAGATTGATTTATGCTCTAACCTTGGGGTGACGATCACCTCCCTGATCGGCTTCTGATTAATTTATCCAGTTTAAATGGTTCTGCAAACCGCCTCAGAAACAGGGACGTAGCTACAAGCATTCATCAGGGTAAAAAGGTTATTATTCAGATAAATAAATGATGCTAACAACTTGACAACGCAAATCAGAACCTCAGTTTTTTTCGAGACACCAGCCTTCAGCTCTTGAGGAAATCTTGCTGCCTCCTTCCTGACCCTGATCTTTAGTGCCTGACCCATAAGTGTCTGTTACTGTGGAACAAATTACCCTGAAACTGGGCATCTTGAGACAAGAAGACAACAAGCCTCATCTCACAGCTTCTACCAGGGCTTTGCGTGCAGCGTGGCTGGGACCTTCTGCCGCAGGGTCTCACAGCGTTCAGTCAGGGGTCACCCAGGGCCGTGGGCTCATTTGGAAGCTCAACCAGGAAGGGTCCTCTTCGAGGTCACTCACGAGGTGGCCAGCAGGATTCGGCTCCTTGTGGGTTGTTGCATGGAGGGCCCCGGTTCTCCACAGGCTGTTGCCTCAGTTCCTTGCCACGTTGGCCTCTGCATAGGGCTAGTCACAACACGGCAGCCTTTCTCCTCCAGAGCCAGGGCTCCGAGACAGTGTGAGAGCAAGCAAGATGAAAGTCATGGTCTTTTTCTAGCCTAATCTCTCTCTTTTTTTTTAACCACTTTAGTGAGGTGTGATTGACATGTAAAAATTGTATTTATTTAATGTGTACAACTCATTGAGTTTGGGGATAAGTATATACCTGTGAAACATCACTACCGTCAAGGCCATAAGCATATCCATTGCCCCCCAAAGTTTCTTCCTGCCCCCTTTATTATTATTATTGATGTTGTTATTTTTCATGTGTATGGTAAGAACACTTAACATAAGATCTACCCTCGTAGCAAACTTTAAGCGTATAAAACAGCATTCTAACTATAGGTGTTAGGCTGTATGGTAGATCTCCAGAACTTCTTTATCTTGCATAACTGAAACTTGTACCCTTGACCAGCACCTCCAGCCCCTGGCAGCCACCATTCTACTCTGCTTCTATGAGTTTGGCTATTTTAGATTCCACATATAAGTGACATCATACAATATTTGTCTTTCTGTGACTGGCTTATTCCATTTAGCTTGATGCCCTCCAGGTCCCTCGATATTGTGCCAGTGGTGGGATTTCCTTCTTTTTTAAGGCAGAATAATATTCCACTGCAGGTGTCTACCACATTTTCTACATCCATTCATCCATCCATCGATGGACTTTTAGGTTGTTTCTGTATCTTGGTCCCGCCTCATCTCTGAAGGGACATCCCGTCACTATATTCTGCTTGTTAGAAGTAAGTCAGGAGATCCAGCCCACACTCCAGGGGAGGGGATTGCACAAGAAGGTGAGTATCACGATGCAGGATCTTTGGGGCCTCTTGAACTTTCTCTGCCACACGTAATCCGTTGTGGTGCTGAATGGCTGTTCTTAGCAATGAGATGCACACAGCAGGGTTTCGTGCAGTCCTTGTTGTGATTGAGTTCAGGTTGGTTGTGATGTGACTGAGCGGCTAATGTTCTGAGCTGTCAATCAAGAACGAGTGGATTAACATGCATGTACCGTTTGTTTTATCAAGTATATATAGGTAGTTTGTTTGCATGTGTGTCTTTTTCAATTCTGAAAAAGGAATTAAGAAGGAAGGGAGGCCGACAGCCAGAGGTCCACTCTAAGCTGATAGTCAGCTAGGTGTGGTGGGTGGGAGGGTGGCCATGGAATTGAAGAAGGTTACGACTGGCTCCTTCTGGCCAGTTAGATCTTAGCTTAAATGACGTCATCTCAGAGAGAGTCCCTGTGCGCCCAGTTAAAATCAGCCATTGTTCCAGAACGGGCTCGTGGCCCGTAGCACCCTCTGGCTCTGTTCGCCGCTTATTTCCTTGTTTGCGTCTACCCATGAGAGCTCAGCCCCGGGAGAGCAGGGACCTCACCTGTCTTGGTCCACTCGTGTTGTCAGCAGCTCGCCTGGGCCTGGCAAACAGTGGGCTCTCAGTAAATACCTACCAAATAAACGAATGAACCAAACACGTAGACACAATATGATTCCAAGGAGCTTTTTGGAAATTATAGTATTTTCATGACTTCCAAAGGAAGTGCCACTTATTTAGGTAACATGCAAATGCATTAATTTCTTAAAAAGAGGAAAATAGTCTCAAGATGGTGGGGTAGTTTTGTCCCTGCCACTGATGGCTGGTGGGCCATTAGGTAAGTCATGTCACCTCTCTGGGCCTCAGTTTCCTCAGAGGATACACGTGGGGGCTGTAGATTGGGGGTCTTCAGACTGCTTTGTCCCCAGATCCCGGTTGGGCAGAGTAGGCTCCGTGTTTTCAACATTGATCTGCCACATAAGGTTTTGTTTGAAGAAAGGATTCTGTGACCAAAAAAAAAAAAAGTTTGAAATGCGTGGGACTTCTGTGCCCATGTGGCCATTCCGGCTCTGCAGGAGCAGGCACTGGTTACAGTTCTTTTGGTGATGAGGGTAGAGACCTGTGGTCCCCGAAGCTTCGGGCCCGCAGAACCAACAAAAAGGGCAAGCCTGATAATTTTGGTGCATGTGACCTAGCGCCCTTTCTAAGCACCTGAAGAACCCCGTCTCCGTTCCCCTCTTCCCCCTGCCCCCAGCCTCACACCTCACTTATGCCCACATGGTGCTGCCTTTGAAATGTTAGCATCCATTTTTTTTTTCACATTGACTAACTCGTTTCAAGATTTCATTTTTGGCACTGCTTTTCCCACCAGATAGCCGGAGCTTCCAAGCTCCAAGTTTTATAATTAAAATTCTGTCACATCCCCGAAACAGTGCAAATTGTACCATTAAGCCTGGCATCAAAGATTTGGAAGCATTTCACTTAGTGATTTACATATAATACTTCTGGCAGCTTTCAATTTTGGGTATTTTTAATTCTAATTAAAAAACTATTATTGGCCATTAATATCCTCCATACAGCATGCGGTTGTGCCTGTGCGCTCCATTTAGGCCGTCAGGCTTTTAAACAAACAGCTTGGCTGCGTGGCTGCTGCAGCCCACATGGTTTTTCCTGGCCTTGGGGAATCACCAGGTCCCAGGCATAATTAGTATAAATCAAAATCCTCTAGACTATGACAGGAAAATGGTATGTTTGAACAGCAGCTTATTAAAATGACCTACTTAATTTAAGAAAAATATTGTATCCGCTCGCACGGTAACCTGGATGCTATCCCTGACAGATTTTGTAATATTTCTTTTCTCTCTCTCTTTTTTTTTTTAAAAGAGAAAGAAAGGGAGTGGAAAGGCCCGTTCTACTTCATCCAAGGGGCAGACCCCCAGTTTGGACTGATGAAGGCCTGGTCCACTGGGGAGTGTGACAGTGGCGGTGATGAGTGGGGACAGGAGACGCGTCTAACTGAGCAAGCTGTCCGGGCCGTCAACAGGCTGAACCCCAAACCCAAATTCTTTGTTCTGTGTGGGGACCTCGTCCATGCCATGCCAGGTAAGACTTGGGGTATCGCTGTGACCTTTCCTCCTCCACCCAGTCATGACTGCATTTGGGCAGAAAAAAATGATTTCTCTTGAAAGATGTCTTTATTCAGTAACGGCTCGTTCCTTCATGACTGTTGCAGTATCATCGAACATCAGAAAATGCACACTCATTTTATATTTAGAATTTGGCGAGATTAATCACAGTAATTAAGCAGAGCTACAGTTCTGATGATCTGAGCTTAGTATGAAAAATGGAACAGATTCCCACGTGTCACCTTTCTTCATTTCCAGGGACAAACTTGAACCGCTTGCAGATACTATATTCATAAATGTAATCTTCTCTTCTTGCTTCCCCCCTTCTTATGCTTTTATTTCTTGGGTATTTGTTAGTACGTTTTCAGTTTCAAGTGACAGAAATCTAACTTAAACTAGATTAATTTTTTTTAAAGGTATGTATTGCCTGTGGGACTGTAAAGTCCAGGGGCATATCTGGGCTTCAGGAATGGCTGGATCCAGGGGCACAGAGGTTATTATCAGGACTTGGTCTCTTCATCACTCCGCTGTGCTTTCCTCTGGGTTGAATTCATTCTCATGCAGGCGCTCTCTGGGTACTGGCTCCTGGGAGCCCTCTAGGTTTATGTCCTTCTAACAGAGACCATAACAGAAAGAAAGTGCCTTGGTGGCCCAATCGGAGTCCTAGACTGACGTCCTTCCACCATCCAGCTCACATGGTCCCCTGGAGCCAGGTTGCAGGATCAGCTCCACTGCAAGCCGGTGATCAGAACAACAGAATGGTTCCCCTAAAGAAAAGTGGGATACTGGGAATACAAAAACAGATGCCTTCTAGAACTTACTTCCTCCCCATTCTTTTTTTTTTCCTACTCTGATATCCTTCTTTCTCAGGAAGGATAAAGTCCAGCGAGCAAGCATAAGCAAGTGGAAACTGCCCCTGCCCGTTGGGGAGGCAGAGCGGGCGCCCATGGCCACTCTTATCTGTGTCTCAGTCTCTGTGAAGTGGAACATAGATGACCAGAAGACCACTGCAGAAAGTGCTGCGACGGCCATGGGTATTTGTTTTTGGTGAACGTTTCCTTGTAAACCAAGACTGTCGAGTCCTGCTGTGATTTCTAACGCCTCTAGGTGCCGAGGCGCTCTGCAATAGCCCCAGGTGCATTGTCTCCTCCCCATCCAGGCTCGCTTGTCTGGCAGCCCAGCTATCCAGAACAATCCCCGAATGAAGATGTGGCACTTGGAAAAAGGGCTGCCCTGGAATTGCTCTCCCTGAAGTCCAGGCAGTGTAACCGGCAGGGAGAACCTCCGATGTCCCTCATTTTGTTTACTTGTGTTTTACACAAAGTCATGATTGTGGACATGTCCACGTCGTTGACCTCCCGCTGAGTAGAACCCAGTGAGGTCGTCCCTGGAGAAGCAGCCTGTCCTGCTATTGGGGCTGCACAAAGGTGGCAAGATGGTGAAGCGGGGAAATAAGGCAGTGGACAAAGACCTGATCTAGGGCTCAGGTGTCCGGGCTGCCAGCCCCACATCTGCCACTGATGCACTGGGTAAACTTGGACAGACCCCTTACCTTCTTAGAGCCTCGGTTTCTGAGCCAAGAGCCCATTGAAGCAGCAACAATTGAAAACTTCGGCAGTCTGGGGTTACACAGCACAGGGACAGATGGCCCTCTACCTCTGTGCTGCTGGTGAGTGTCTGAGCAGGTCGCTGCAGAAACACATTCTCGAGGATGGTCCTGAGTTTCGTGTTGTAGAGAGGTAAAATTGTAGCGCCTGTGAACTTGGCCGCGCTTTGGTGACTCTCGGCCGAGGCTTCCTGGGTGCTGAGACCGTCCAGTGCTGAAGTGGCCAGGCAGTGTCCTGGTTTCCCAAGGAGCTGGGAATCTCAGCAGGACTTGGAGTCTTGGTTTCAAGTAAACCGAGGGAAGGTTCTTAGTTGACAAACAGACTCGTGCTCCTTCCAGATGGTCTGATTTGCAGTTCTCCGTGTCTTTGCAATCATTTGGCCCAAAATGCACTTGTAGCATCAGCTCAGGCTCTCACCCTCGTCCACACCGTGAGCAAACTTCTGCTTTTCTCGGACACTTGAAAATCAGATTCCGAGTTTAACGTTTTTCTGTCCAGTGGTTTCTTTTCTCTGAAAACAGAATAATTACGAGACTCACCAGAATTATATAACATGTTCTTGTAGAAGTTTACCGACTTGTTCTGAGTTATGTTAATGTATTCAGTCATATTTCAAAATAAGATTTAAAATAAAAGCTTTCCATGTGATTTTATTGCCTCTTAAAGTATACTGAACATAAGTAAATTAAAAGATACAGTTTTTATGGCCAACCCTACCAGTTGTTCAGAAGACCTCGTAAATGTGAACTGGCAAACTTTCGAATAGAGATTTTATATTCAGTGCAACCCGAGCAGAATTCCTGCCTGTTCTAAAGAGGGACTGTTGTATGAGGTTGTAACTGAGCCAGCGAAGGGACTGAAACTGTTTTGAATATTGTGGTCTGGGATTAAACAGAACATTTTAAAGCTAGTTACCTTTTTTTAATATGCAACTAGTGTCTATTTAGCCCTTATTTAGCTCATATGCGAAGGCAGACGCTAGAAAAGTAATTATTTGCTTTGACTGCTTAGTGCATGGTTAATTATCTAATGCATATATTAATAGGCAAATAAAATCAGAAAGCATACTTTTAATTCTACCGTAAATAATATCTCGGGCCAAGTAGTTTTAGTTTCAAACTGGAGAAAAAGAACTTTTAAGAGTAATGCTTCTTCTAGTGAAAGTCATAATACACTTTTCCATTATAAATATCCATCATAATATTTGTTCATCCACAAATATTTATTGTGTGCAAAGTAAGTGCTAGCTGCTGTGTATGTAATAGCTGGAAATGAGAGACCGGGGCCTTCCATGGAGCTTAGAGTCTGGGAAGGGAAGCCGTTGGTGCCAAGACCTGCAGGAGAAGGCCCAAGAATTATAGGACAAAGTCCATTTAGTTTTGAGACACACGTTTTCATTCTGCATCTTTTTGCTTGCCTTGGTATTTTCTTATTTTATAAAGCGTCTCTATGGGATAAGCAACGTTATCAATAGCAGTTGAAGATTTGTACAAACATTGAGACCATTGATTTTCTTTTTAATTTTATTTTATTGAGGTCATATAGGCTCATAACATTGTGTAAATTTCAGGTGTACGTTACTATATGTCAGTTTCTGTATAGACTGCGTGTTCACCACCAATAGTCTAGTTTGCATCCGTCACCATACACGTGTGCCTCTTTACCCCTTCCACCTCCCCCCAACCTCCTTGTCCTCTGGTAACCACCAATCTGTTCTCCTTGTGTATCTGTTTATCTTCCACACGTAAGTGAAATCACGTGGTCCTTGTCTTTCTCTGTCCGACTTATTTCGGAGACCATTGATTTCCAGTCCTTCGCTGAGCCTAGGGTTGCTTTCTTCAGTCCTCCTGATGCTGAGGCATCAGCCCCACTGATCTTGTCCCCAGGAGCCCCTGTTTAGATTTCAGCAATTATGTGAGAAAGCTGACAGATTAGAACGTGATGATACAATTAGAGTGTAAGAGATTCCTTTCGGCCTTTAGAATGGATTTATTATAAACAAGCATCCTAACCAAACTGAAACACGCAATGCCGGACTCATTCTCCCCTTGATATGCAGTCTCCTTGAAGAGTTCTTTGTGTGTGACCTCCACTTGGGCAACTGATACATGATTTAGTTTCAGTTGATAATTCAGCCTCAGGAAATCCTCTATTGTGTAAAGTGAGGCAAGCCTGCGTTCACATTAGCCCAATAGATAGGGTACGAGTTGCCTATCGCTGCTATAACAAAGTACTGCAAACTTAGTGGTCTCTTATGGTTCTGGAGGTCGGAAGTTTCAAATGGGTCTGCAGGGCTGCGTTGCTTGTAGAGCTTCCAGCTTCTGGGGGCCCCCCACATTTTTTGGGTGGTGGCCCCTTCCTCCATCTTGAAAGCCAGCAACATAGCATCTTCTCTCCTCTCTGAGCTTTGAGTTCATCCTGTCATATTATCTCTATTACTCTGACCCTCTCATAAACAGCATTTTGATTACATTGGCCTGTTCAGATAACCCAGGATCATCTCTCCATCTCAATATCCTTCAGTTTATCACATCTGCAGATTCCCCTTTTGCCCTGTAAGGTGACACATTCACAGGTTCTGGGGATTGAGATGTGGACATCTTTGGGGGGGCCATTATTCAGCTCACCACAGGTGGCATAGGATGGAATTCAGGGTCTGTTATCTGCCAGGAACTGTGCTGCTTGCTCACTTGCTCATTACAGTCTCGAAAAGGAGTTGTCACGATTATTTCCATTTTAACTGATGGTGGAAGCTGGCTCAGAGCAGTTAAGTTCTTTTCCCAGGGTCTCTCAGCCTGTAAGCGGTGGACTCAGGATCTAACTCAAGCCTCTCCCTTTCCAAACCTCATGCACGCCCCCCTGCAGCCTCACTACTCAAAGGGTGGCTCCCAGAGCAGCAGCCAGGAGCTTGTTTGAAATGTGGGATCTGTGCCCCACCCTGACCCGATGAAACAGAGTCAGCATTTTAACAAGATCCCAGGTGAGTCCTGGGGACAATCAAGTTTGGGGAACACTTAATAGGCTAAAAGGCACAGGGCCCTGCGTTTTTTGCTTTTCCATGTATTATGTAGTTTTTGTGTGTTGGCAAGTAATTTGTGAAAATTCCCTTCAGCTGTTAAAGATAATGGTGTTGAGCAAGAGAGTTGTCATTGCTTTAGACTTAGGATGCTTAGCGTTCAAACGGGAATGCCTGAAGTTTGTAGGTTTTTGTTTTGCTCCCTAAACAACGGTTTGAATAACTAAAGCAGGGTGACCTCTGCTATGCAGGGTTCAAAACGGAACTTGACCGGAATATTCAGAAGAACAGCCACACATGTTTGCTCTGAAGGATTTTGTGTGGAGCGGTGGGGAGAGCTGGAACTGGGTCTTT